GTGTTCAGGGACGTGGACGATCACAGGACGGGTCGTCTCGGTGTTCAGGGACGTGGACGATCACAGGACGGGTCGTCTCGGTGTTCAGGGACATGGACGATCAAGTCCTTCCTAGGTCAGGCTTCCTCCAGCTGCTGCAGCCCAGGCAAGCGCCCACCCAGTGGTAGCACCCAGCCGCGTGGGAACTAGCCTGTGATAGGGGTCCAGGAATTTGCTCTCACTGGAGTCTCTTGATTGCAGAATTCTTGGTGTTGATCTGGCAGAAGTTAACTGAGCTCCTGCTCTTTCCTCATGAGTCTGCGTGTCTTAGGAGATCCCAGGCCACCACAGCTGAAACCTAAAGTGTCATGTCCAGGCTGGGTTGCAATGGAAAGAGTGCCGAGGGTGCTTTCCAGGGAGTAAACTCAGGGAAGAGCATCCTTCACTATTCTGCAGAAGCTGGGGCAGGACAGTGGACACCCTTTAATCTGTGAAAGCGTATGGGCCTGGGGCCTGGGCAGCCTGCTCTGTGAGAGGAAGGCGACATGGTACTGCCCTCTGGAGTGCTGAGGTTAAAATCAGCTAACCGGTAGAAAATGTCTAAAATGGGGCTTGGCATGTAGTGAGTGCTCAGCCAGTACTTTAGGAGCAGCCTGGCCCACGTCCTGCTGGACGAGGCTGACCTGGCTACAAGGCCGAGGGAAGCAGGACCGGGGTCCCAGGGCAGCAGGGCGGGCAGGCAGTGGCACTGTCCAGCTCTCTGGAGGGGGCTCAGGTCTAATTCTGTGGCCCACAGGCATGTGACTGTGGGTGCTCTGAACCTTAGTCCCCTTGTCTGTCAAATGAGGAGAGACCTACTCATAGGTGCTATGAGGCTTAGCTGCAGTTCTGGAAAGATCCAGGCACACCCTTGTTTACCAGCTGCTGGCCCCTGCCCTCCTCTCAGGGAGGGCAGTGAGATGATGGGCGGGGGTCATGCTTCTTTGCTGGAGCCGAGTCTGCATCCTCTCAGAACCATGTGGTTGGAGGTTGCCATGGTCCACCTCAGCTGTGCTCCATTGGGCACAGCCTGGGGTCCCACCCAGGGGCCTGCTCACCTTGAGACCAGGTGGAGGAGGATGACCCTGGCATAGCGTCTCAGCCTGTGTCAGCCCTGTGTCTGTTCTATACGTGTGTGATGTGCCGTCCAGCCTGCTGCATGAGCCCAGCCCTCACGTGGGGGTGACATCACCCACCCCAGCGCCCAGATCTTGAGCCAGGCTGCCCGTTTCCTCCAACTGCAGCAACCTCTCCTGGAGAAGCGCATGTGCCCTCGCCCATGCGGTCCCCACTCATGAGCCCAGCCCCGAGCCTGCCCGCTCTCCCTTTCCTCCAGGGGTTGAGGCTGATGTTTGGACCTTGCTTTGCAGGCTGTGTCCTCGTGGGCGGGTGCTGGCTGGGGGCAGCAGAGTTCACATACTCTGGGTGGGCCCGAGCCTGAGGGCTGACTGCATCCTGCCCTAATGGCTTCTCCCAGGGGCGCCTTCCTTCTTCTCTTCTCCCTTTCACTTCCTTGCATTCTTCCCAGCCCCCAGGCATCAGTCACACCCTCTCACCCACCCTTCCGGGGCTGGTTTTGTCCCACCCCACCCCCACAGCCGCTCATCCCTTGTGCAGCCTTGCTCCCAGAATCCCTGGGGCTCAGTGAACACGGCCTGCTCCCATCTTGGGCGACGCCGGTCTGTGCTGGGTGGCTCAGACCTCACTGGTGTTGAGTTCAGGAGTTGAGGTGGGCAGCCCAAAGTCTTGAACATCCAAAAGGTGGTTTCCAAATTCAGAAAGACGTTAGAGAAGTTAGCGCAGAAAGGCTTCTTCACAGGCTTAACTCGACAGTCGGTTGAAGGATTTGAAGGTCACAATGAATGGAGTCCTTTGGTAAGTTGTTTTTAACTTAATTCATTTTGTTGTTGTTGTGGAGAATATGCACAGAACATACCCCAGTTCAACAGTTCCTACGTGTACAACTCACGACATTGACTTCATCCTGGGAGTTGTCACCTGTTCTCACCCTCCTGTGCTGAATTGTTCCTCCCCATTAACATAAAAACTCACTGCTGCCTAAGGGTCCTGTCTCGATGACGTGTTTTTTAAACTTAGATACCCTTACTTACACATAAAAACCTTAGAAAGAAAGGGTCCGAGTTCCCGTCCTCTCAGACAGCCCCTGCCCTGGTGGGCCGCGTCGGTGGTTTGCTGTCGGGTGGGTGTCTGGGTGTCCAGGAGGGTGACCGGGGCCTGGAGCTGGTTTAGCTCTGAGGGCGAGGGGCTTGGTTTTCAGGTGGGAAGGAAGAGGGGGGATGAGCCCTCGGTTGGGGCCCTCCTGCCCGAGTGCGCCCTGTGGAGTTCGGTGCAGAGCATGGCTTCAGCCATCCTGGTCCCTGTGGGGGCCCTCGGGACTCCTCTCAGCTGGCCCTGGTGGAGCGAGGCCCTGTCCGTGGTTCAGACCCCCACCCGCGCACCGTCCTTGTCACTTAGTGCCCCTCTTCTCGCCCTCCTGTGTCCCGCCCACCATCTCTGGCGCAGCCTCTGCTGGCTTTTGGCCAGGGGTCAGGTGTGTGGCTGCCCCCTCCCCAGGAGAGCCCTGAGCTGGACGTAGGTGACCCTGGGGCTTCACACAGAGCCAGCGGGGTGGGGGCCGGGCTGGCCTCTCCCTGCCCCTGTGGCATGAAGGGCCAGTGTGGCTGAGTGGCCAGAGCACAGACAGGTGCCCGGCCTCCCGGGGTGCTGACGTGACCCTCACTGGGGTTCTGACGTGAGCATCGCCGGGGTGCTGTGTGTGACGTGCAGGCATGCGGCCACGTGCGTGGACAGACCCGCCTGGTTGAGGGAGTACAGGCCAGAGTCCCGAGCCTCAGGGTGTCTGTCTGTCTCCGC